TAATGTAAGTTAACTTAAGCATACGAACTATATTTACATATTATTGTACATACAGAACTAACATATATATTACGAGTTTTAATGCAACAGGAAACGAGTTGAAACTCATATTTTCACTACTTAACGTACTATATCTTCACTTCATGCTCAGTTTATGTACCTTATGTCTCCACAATCATGAGTTTATCAGAATGCACGACAACCATAGCTTATTATATTTCAAGCATTCTGGGCTTCTAGTTATGAACACCAGTACCCTTAACAGAAATTGTTTATTCTCTTTTAGTGATTCTCGTGATTCTCCTATCGTTGAATTTGTTTGCCGTTTGTGCATACTGTTAATCTAAATTGTCACTCCATTCGACAGCAACAAGTTATCATATAATACGTTAGGCGGTATTAAATCTAATCTAACCTCATGCCATCTCTTAAGGGTTCCATATGTGAACTGTACGTAAGTCAGTCTATTCTGAAATTATTCGACGTGGTCGTATCATCATTTACATTATGCCACGTGATGCAACTTAGGAGCATGCTATTATTCCACTTCTTCAGTATCATGGTCCAATCTATGAGTAGCCAATTATCACTTGGTAGCCTATTACCCTCTTAAACACCAACTACAACGTTTGAAATCACCGAATGTTCAGGGCACCGGGTGTGCACCATACAGACATTGTGCTCAGTGATGCAATATATTCACGGCCATTACCCTCAAACTCCGGCTTGCAATCAGGACACATAACGCCTTCTGGAAGGAGCGTTTTCCGGGCTAGCACGACAGGCCATCATCGTGCATGAACGTGCCTTTTCCTGAACTCCAACCGAACTCTATAAACGTTATCTTCTACAATTTACGCATGATATGCGTGATGAACGACTCGACAAATTTATTGTGCAGGACACAGATGTAAGAACTTTATATATATCAACGACACTACAAATTTATTGTGCAGGGCACGGTCGAAAGAACTATTATATTTATATACGACACTACAAATTTATTGTGCAGGGCACGGTCGTAAGAACTTTATATATATCTCCGACACTACAAATTTATTGTGCAGGGCACGGCTGTAAACCAGGATCAATCCCGGATCAATTGCGTTTATCGTATGTACAGCCCTCGACCACCACGCTGTACGACACGCAGGAGTCTCTCAGTGATATCCCATAATGAACATTATATCCAGGCGTAAATCCATGAACAATACTAGGACAATTCGTAATGTCCAGTGTGTATAACCAACGATCATCCAGTTATACGCCACACAGCCGTCCGACAACTTACATCCTCTGCCACAACTAGTTATACGGAACTCTGACACTTACGTCGTTGTGCATTCCGAGCTCGACGCTATCCATCTGGCGAGTGACTGTCGTCCTATCCCCATTACCACACCGTTCCGGTCCAAATACTATGTCAGCTAGAACTTTACTCATTTGCCATCATGGGTAACATATACGCGGACCACTATCCCTAGTACTGGCTATCAATTATTCCAGAACTGCTCAATGGACTATTCTAATCTGCAATTATTTCTGTTGCATCACGGGGGCTAGTTTTCAATAATAGTATTCACATACTTTACTGTTACTCAATAATAGAGTTCACATACTTTACTGTTATTCAATAATAGTGTTCACATACTTTACTTTTGCTCAATTACAGTGTTCGCATACTTTACTGTTGCCTAATAATGGTGTTCACATACTTTACTATTGCTCAATAATAGAGTTCACATACTTTACTATTGTTCAATAACAGTGTTCACATACTTTACTGTTATTCAATAATAGTGTTCACATACTTTACTGTTGCTCAATTACAGTGTTCACATACTTTACTGTTACCTAGTAGTAGTGTTCACATACTTTACTGTTGCTCAATAATAGAGTTCGCATACTTTACTAATGCTCAATGATAGTGTTCACACATTTTACTGTTGCTATATATATATATATATATATCCATTGTATTTTATTTGTATATTACCAGAGGTACATGCTGTCTAATATTCCGTAAGGTTATACCATTGAATATCCCACGGGGCTTAGCTTATATAAAGATGGCTGCACCCGAGCCCAGTATTTTCTTCTGAATCCAAACCTATTAACACGCCAACTTTGTCTGGAAATTTGTTCCAATCATCTTGGCCCATGGTTTATTCAATGGAATAAAAAAAAATAACAACTTATTCGCAAGATGAATAAGCTGTAATTATGGAATGTCTCTAAAACTATACATCCATTTCATATATATATACTATTACCGGTCACATTCCATTTAATACCATAGGTGTCCACCTCTCTTGGGTCATCTCATGCGCTCCTTGCACACGGGGCCGTGTGCCACCAACGGGGGGGCGTATGTTATGACTCAAGGGAACAGACACAATCATAAAAAACCATAACAGTTATTTACATACATAATTAATTATTAACCCTGTACTGCCTGAACCTATGACCCTTCTTGCACTATGACATTGAATATTCATTTTACTTACCGTTGACCTAACATCTTAAACATTCATAAGGCACTGGCCATTTTACAATAAAATATATAAGGAACGGGAACTGGTCTCTAGGGAGTTCTCGAGGTAGCCAGGCAGTACAGGGATCTAATCTGTATATTGATATCACATTAATTTTACAACGAAATAAAAAGATAAATAAAGAGATAGAAATTATTTATTGATTTAAATCCTGAGTTGGTTGATAAGTATTTCGAGTAGGAAACAAGATTGTAATCACCAAAAAGTGATTACAACAAAAGTTCAAAATCTAGGTCAGTGATACAATATTTATTACGGTAAATTAAATCTTATTTTTAAAACGATTTTGGGATAATAATTGAATACAGAGAAAAACAAATTTTGGGAATTTTCAATTCCATGGACATTTTGGTATCAATTTGTTAGGAAAATTACTTCTATCTGCTGTATAAAAGAAATGATAAGGCCGTGCAATGTTTTTATCCTTATATGAATTGCGGCGGTAATTTTTAGTTTGAAAATTCAGAATCTTGAAAACGTAAATATAAAATCATCATTACTAGAACATGATGACGTCAAGACACTTTCAGTGCTAATTCACCGTTTTATCCACTGACTAAATTGTCTTATTTTGAATAATTTTAGAGGCCGCATGCTAGAATATTCCAATTAATGCATGCAATTTAACTGTTATGTTTAGGTGAGAGTCAGGTTCCCTCGAGTAGCCATTGTTCGTCAATTAACAACGAGGGTCCAATTCACTTCTTTGTTATTTGAAGTTGGAGCAACTGTTGTGAATCAAAATGTATATCATCACTGTTCCACAGCTGGATGACTCTAACCGCAGTTAGCGTCATTCAAGATGGTTGCCGAAATTCTTTCGTTTTCGACAAACTTACGATTTCAGCTAAAAAGCTGAATCTTGATTCCAAAAGTTTCGCCATGCAAACTAATAAAACTATGATTGTAAAAAGACACAAATTAATCCCCAAATACCCGCAATATTAGAGAATTTGAAAGAAAACGGCTTCACTCAGAACAAAGCTATTTTCTTTAAAATTCACACATATCACGGTAAGATATAGGTGAGACGTTTATGGGCACGGATGTCAACGATGATGATGATATAAATACACCTTTATTGTACATAGAGCTAATACGAGAATACAACAAAACCACAACACAAATCATTATTAAACAACAAAATTATTTACGATGTACATTACATCCATCACATAATTCACATAATGTTTTTCAACTGACAAAGAAATAAAAGGACATGATGTTTCGTGATGTTTAGGTCTACGCGACTGGAACGTTTATCCTACTCGCCAAGAGTCTACTTGACACTTCCACGTCGTTTACATTACACCTCCTTCTCGTTAACCAGTGGCAAATGAGACACTTCCGCTTCGTTTTCTTTTCACTTCCCGATCGTTTCCAATATTTTTTTGTATGTCTGTCTTACAGGACTTTAGAATAAACAAAGACAGAATGATAGACGGAATATGGTCTATAATGTCTGCCGTGCAATCAATTAACGTATTTGTCGTGGTTTGATAAGTAAAGGCTACACTTCATAATATAACATTAAGTGACTATTCGTTGTAATTTTTACGTTCAAGAAAGATAACTCAAAATTCGTATGACACTATAGCAAAAATAAGTAGTAAGGTATAAAGAGGAATGTATGAGGCTAAAATAAAACACTATACCAGCATCATACGTTCTTGAAATTCAACATAAGCCTACCTTTCTTCTACATTGTGTCTGGTGTCTTTTAAAAATGCCACCTCATCGTTGACAAAAAAACACTTCCGTACCCATATGCGCGTCACTATACCTCACCGTGCATATCGCGGTTGTTATAGCATTTATCTGTGGTTGTTTACAATCATAGCTTTTAGTTTGCATAGCGAAACTTTTGGAATTCATATTCAACTTAGTTTAGCTGAAATCGTAGGTTTGTCGAAAACGAAAGCATTTCGGCAACCATCTTGAATGACGCTAACTGCAATTAGAGTCATTCAGCTGTGGAACAGTGATCATGACATCTCATTTCTTTTCGCTTTGAGATGCCATGATATTATGGGTTGGATTTAGTGCCCGATTAAGTGATCCAAGAGAGCCCAAATTTCAGAATTTTTAAGATCTTTTATCTCTATGTTTATATATATCACCGTGTCTGTGAGGAGAATGACAACAGAATACAATTGCCTGCGTAACTCTTTCAATCAAATTGGCCTCGATCACAAAATATGCCTCATAATATCAGAGCATGCTTCTTGTGATGCAGAAAGTTGTCATGAGTATCAGGATCAGAAAGATGAAGTTCTTCACTGATGAAAACACTGTAACACTCTATATGACAATTGGACTGTTTTATCCACTCAAAAATTACATTCCTCATTTACCATGCAATTTCAAGTGAATTGGTTGAAAAATAATGAAATGACAGATAAATCCCAAGAACTTAGTGATCACCCTGTATTGTTTGTTTTACAGACACCCACATGGAATATACAGACTTGGGGTATGATTGGTCGTCATACTATGAAGGTGGACCTATGCCTTGGCACTCAACATTTAAACTGAGTTGCCCACGTGGCTCTTTCATCATAAACCCCGAGTTTACTTTGTACAACGGTGTGCGTTTAGGAATATGGGTACAAACCAGCTGCCAAAGTATCGTATTCGATTCTGAGAGTATGTTGGCCTTCACAGAGGGATGCTTGAATCAACAACGTTGTGAAGTGTTTGACGATTACGAGAATGTAACATATGATGACAGTTGTTATAGCAATGAGACGAGAGACGACCTTTTGGATGTTGTTGGGGCTATTACACATTCTTGTCAATATGGTATGTGCTATCTATCAAGGGAAGACTGAGATTTATTTTCATCATATTTATTAAAATGTGTAGATTATTCTGGGGCCTACCCAGAATTTTGCGTTTACATCTATTAAAACCCAACGCCCACGATAGAACATAAAACAAACACACACAGGTGCGAATAACCCGAGTACCTATAAAGACGCATTCAGTTGAATATAAGAGATCTTTGCACTCCGGCATAATTAATTATAAGTAATGCTTTGTGTTATATAACATTATCTAAACATCTGAACGCTACATGTTTTTCAACTGATCTTGGATATATATCTGGGTTATGTTAATATTTAGATTGTTAACACTGCCATAGCTGAGTGAATCACTGGTCGTCTTGAGAAAATGGAATATATACGAGGCCCGATCAAAAAGTTTCCTACCAAATGCTAGATCATTTTTGTATTTCTTGTCATTTTAACCTGAATTTTTTACAGAATATGCATACACAATATACCTTTGGTTTACACATATTGTTTTGGGCAATCAATGTCAGCTGTATTTTGTAGCTGAGCCTAACCCACTTTATCTCTTTAAACAATCACACATACAATTGTATCATCACTTTTTGTATATATATTTATTCTTTCCTTTAGAAAACACCATACCTACTTTTGATTTCAATATATCTGTCAGAGATACGTCGGTGGCTAACGATCTTGGATTCTTAGATGGAGTGCCATTTCAAACATGTGTTGACTTTAATCCAGGATATTTCAATATTGAGTTGACACTGCAACGTCACGTCCAGATTCATGAGATGATAATATCCGGACAACAAGAATGTAAGTATACACTATCTTGATTCACAGTGTTTCAGTTGGTCCATCTATACACCTGAGTTCAGTCTGGAGGTCTTTCAAAGAAAAGTGAAATAGGACGATTGAAAATATGTTGCTTTTTTCAGTTTGAAAAATGTTTTAAGTTTTAAGTTTTTTAAATGCTAAGTATTGCATTTGTTGATTATAGTTCTTAACATTTGTTAAATGAAATGATATTCATATGTTTTAAAATAAAACGATCGATATCTCAAAAATTGGACAATAATAATAATTGCTAACAATTCAAAACTGTCTCAAACCGCCTTTAAGTCATGAAAAATATTGTTTTATGATTAAAATATGTTTTCGAACTGAAAATGTGGCCTTTGCTTATCTATCGTCACATTAAAACCATCATTTCTAGATAATTGGATTGTTCGTCAAAATTAGCCAAGGTTAGTACAAGGCGAATAACAGATACTTAACTTTTGTTTGATTTTACAACTTTGACATTATGAATTAAAATGAAGTTGAAGAAATTGCAAATATATATTTTTTATAGTTTCTCGGAGTATGGGAGGCAGATTAAAGGAGTTTACATCATCGCCAATAGCATGGGCTATTGTCATAAATGACTATATCTTCCCATATGACGGCACCGTGGACGCCTGGGAGTTTTATTCTGTAAAAACTGGACCATTTTTTATTGACGTCTACAGACCTAATAGAACACATTTCATCCATATTGGAAAAAACATGATCAACGTCATTGAAACTGGTAAATGCTTTGCCCATATTAGGCATCATAATAGTATTATTTTTTATATATATTTTGTGTCTTTATAAGTTTTGATCCATATAAAATGCAAAATAAAACTATACAGTTTTCTTTTGAAATCGACTTTCTTTGCTTTGACTATCATATTTCGAAAACGAACCCCCAAACCTACTATAATAAACATCCGAAAATAATAATTGAGTAAAAATCAGTGAACTGATAAAATATGTTATTTTTACAATTAAACATATGCCTATATGTATTTGAACTAATGAGTACAAATTAAGAAATTTGTGAAATTAATTTAGAAAGTATACAATTTCAAATAATATATATTTGGGACTTCGCATGGACTGTGTGCCATGGTGACTACCATATTACTACTCCTTTCTCTTGTTTACATTGAAAGGTAGATGACAAAAGTGTAAAAATAATTGGATTTATTTAACAGGTCATCAACTATACATGGTACCCTTAGCAGAGAAAATTAGATATAAAGCAGGTGATGTGTTGGGTCTTCACAGTCTCGAAACCGGAATGCGCACAACAATATCAATTATCCATCCTCTGAGGGATCCCCCACATGATGTTGTCGAGTCAAACGAACTCAGCTGTGTATCGTATAATGGAGCACTTTTTGATGATGACATTGACGTGGGTTTTGTCATGCCCCGTGTTCATTGCAACGTAAAGGTCCATTTTGCAATACGTGCCATAAATAGTAGGTTTATAACGACTATTTCAAGTCAAATAATTGAATATACAGGTTATAATGTACTCACTGGCCATGGATATTTTTGGGTAAAATCCCTGAAACATCCAGCAATTGTTTACAAAAAATTATTATCAATGATCATCCTGAGTTTGAAAAACCCCCAGTATTGAAAATAAGGAGAGTGTGTATAAATGTAGTTTAAGTCTGGCTTTGGCTAAGTAGCATTGGAAGGCATTGGTAGGCCCAGGGAAAAGTATTGTAAAAATGATGTACATCTTGTCTGAACACAGCTAAAAAGCAAAATGCTAATATGACGTGCACGGACCTGGGGACAATTCGGGAAATGCGGGCTTATCTCAGCTTTGAACGTTAATCTCTGCCTTATTTAAAAGCCCAACTATGTCATATCATTTTGAAGTATTTTTTATTCGCATTTCAATGAAATTATTTTTCCTTCAAAATTTTGATGGGATCCAACACATTTTTAAAGTTAAATATACTCCGACATCGTCAAATACGCTGTAAGACGTAACACTTTACGCTTACAGGGCTCGTTGAAATTGAGATAACTTTTGAAATAATGATCAAAATCCCACTTAAATTTCACAATTTATTCAATGGAACATTTGCATTTATGACGTCACAATTGCTTAACGGCTACATTTCAAATTATCTTATACGAACGCTTTTAAAATTTTCAAAATTGTGTAAGGTTTTGAAGGCGAATGGGACGAGCAATAAGTTTACCTTCATTTAACCTTCTAATTTAGGTCTGATTTGAAAGAAAATTTAACTGCACAATATTGTCATGGCGAAATTTACAAAACAATAACCGGTTTGTTTATTTTGCAAATAATATCAAAATAAGAGCTGGTTTTCGAGACTTGAAAAAATGTGACGCATCGATTTTTTACCACAAATTCCATACATATCAATTTTTACTAACGCCCCAAGTGGATTTCTTGACCGTTTTTCAAAATTCAAAAACATTTTAGAAATATTGTCCTCGAGATCTTGCTACCCTGTAAATTTTGTAATGATTAGATAAGGATAAAGTATTTTATTTTTAGGTTGACTAAACTTGTAAAAAATGTGACGCTTGTCGTTTTTAACGTTGTGAGGCTGTTTGCGCCCTATACTGCTCATTGTTTTGTTTTGTTTTTTTGACGCCATAATGTTACGCTAATTATAATTGTCCCCAGTTTCGTGCGACGTGTATATACCATTTTTCTTTTCAGATGATCCACCATTAACTATGAACATAACTACGTATAACGAGGCTATCGACAGCGCACCAGTGTCTTGTGATACCGGTTTGTTATTTGGTTATGGACCATCATTCTCGGTGAATTGGACAGATTGTGGAAATACGTTGCCCACTGCCAAATATATAAACATCAGCGGGTATTCACAACACTCATTCTCAATGTGTCACCTTGATATTTATGGAATCATAGGTAAGGGTAACTTAGCATTTAGTACTCATTTAAAAGTTTATTTATGGAATCATTGGTAAAGAGAGATTGGTATTTACTCATCATATTAATATGTTTATTTTCGGAATCAGATGCAAGATGAACTTTGGCTTTATGTATAATTCCAAGCATGTTTATTTCTGTCTCACTTTCATAAATCAACACATCAAAATGATTGTAGTTAAAATGCATCTGAGAGTAAACTGGTGTATACTTCCTTGTGGACAATCGCAAAGTTAACAAATGATATCCTGCTTTGCTTCCACCTAGATGATAGACACATCCTGTGATTGGTGTGTACTGACAACGTGGTTTGATCATGTTGTTTTGTTTTTTTAAAGATTGCAATCCAGTGACCCCTGTCGACAATTCAACAATTGTGATGGGTGAAGATAATAGCACTCTTTTCAATGCAACATACCTGAGTATATGTGACGAAGGATTTGAAACAATCAATGGAACGACTTCACAAGTTGTTACATGCTCCTCGGAAGGAAGATGGCTTGGTGCACTAAATTGTCAACGGATTGATTGTATGCAGCCTATATTGCTGCCAAATATGGATCCCGTAGACTCAAATAAGACATTGTTTCTTGATGTCATGACGGTGTCTTGCTCAACTGGATATGAAATTGACGCTAATATATCGGACCAAAACATTACTTGTATGGCAAACAAAACGTGGCAGCCGCTACTGCAAGTTTGTAGCATAATTCACTGCGATGTTCCTAACATTACAGATGCATCAATTGTGCAGCCCAACATCTCGACATCCTATCTCAGCGAAGTAACATTTGAATGTAACCCAGGGTATAGATTCATGACTAACATTTCAAACATTACATGCCAAGCCAATAAAACATGGACTGAGTATCCTATATGTTTACGAAAAGATTGTGGTCCTATCCCTATTGTTGAATCTGCTATTTATACAAATGAGCAAAATTCAACATTGTTTGAATCTATTGTCGATTATATCTGCTTTGAAGGTTATGATATGGTAGGTGTTAATACAACATTAGTCATCCCAGAGAATGCTATTTCTATTCGATGTGCTGAGGACGGTGTATGGGAGGTACCACCGGCGTGTACAATAAAAAACTGCAGTTGGATCCCTCCTATTGAAGATGCTAAAATCACTTATATGAATGAAACAACTACATTCCAAAGCACTGCTGAAGTTCAATGTGATATAGGTTACTCATTGAATGGATCAACCCCCATGGAATGTCTCTCCTCTGGATTATGGTCTCAGGCACCTGTTTGTTTGATTAAGGACTGTGGACAAATCCCAGGTCTTGTCAATGGGTCAGCATCATGGAATTCAACTGTGTACAACTCTACCATTGCCTACGAATGCGATACTGGTTACACGTTGCAAGGCCTAGACTTCATACAATGTCTCGAAACTGGCATCTGGGACACACCGCCATATTGTGAGATAAACGACTGTAGTAATATAACAAAAATAAACAATACCAAAATAGATCTTCTTAACAATGCAACAGTGTACCAATCCATTGTTTTGTTTGAATGTGACTATGGATACGATATGTCTGGGGGCAATATTTCCGAATGTCTTGCTAATTCCACGTGGTACCCAGCGTTTCCAGAGTGCATAATAGCTGACTGTGGCCCTCCTCCGAATATTTCAGATGCTTTTATTGTCCACCCAAACGGTACCATTCTCACTACATTTGGCGAGCAAGTCCAATATGTTTGCTCTGTCGGTTACAATTTGTTGCATAATGACACAATAGAATGCCAAGCTAACCATAACTGGACGAACGGCCCTACTTGTGAAAGAGTTGACTGTGGCGAAGGACTCGTTGATAATAGTGTCGTGGCAAACATTACTGTACCTGAAGGATTCGGGAACACTACCTTTGACACAGTTATAATGTTCGAATGCGATTATGGCTTCAAACTTATTGGAAATGAGACAACTCAGTGCGAATCAACTGGAAACTGGTCAATGTTACCAGAATGTGTACTTATACATTGTGAATCTCCAAAAAATATTTCAAATGGCAAGATACTTGGAAACAATTTAAATACCAACATCACATATGATTTTGATATAGTTGATGCTGAGATTGTTTATGAATGTGATACGGGCTATTCGATGAATGGGAATGATACAATCATATGTCAAGACAGTGGGAACTGGACAGAACATCCAGTGTGTGAAATAAACGATTGTGGTCGACCAAATGTTCCTAATAATGCTGCATGGGTTAATGGAACAGACATGAATAATACTTTTTATTTGGCGGAGTGGATTTACACCTGTATTGATGGCTATATTGATCTGAGGAATGGATCTTTAACATGTGGTGCAAATGGAAATTGGACTGACGTTCCTTATTCTACATGTAGGTACATTGACTGTGGCCCTGATGAGTTACAATACGGCAATGTGACCTTATTGGATGGAAGGACATCTTTTGGGGCACGAATAGAGTATGAATGCCACATTGGGCACGACATGTATGGCTCGTCCAGTGCAGAGTGCATCTTGGAGAACAATACCTTCACTGGTGTATGGGCTCCATTGAGTCCTGTTTGTCAAGTACAAGAATGTGATATGTTTACTGTAGCAGATGGTAATGTTAGTGCTGTGTATGATGTCTATATGGAAAGATGGCTTGAGGAATTGTATCAACAGCATATCACCGATACTGATATTGTTTCAACCGTGTTACCAACTTTGGATATATCAGGAAGTGGGTCTACAAGTAGTGGGGATTGGTCAGGAAGTGCATCTGGGAATGGTTCGAAATATGCTGAACTTTCAAGTGGTTCATGGTCAGGGGAAAATGAAAATGATCCTCACGTTGAAAGTGGCTCTGGGGACTTTTATACCGAGGACATAGTATCTAGCGGGATCAGAGAAGATAGTTGGGATTTAACAACAGTAATGGATACTGATGATTCATTTGAAATTGGCAATCAATCTCCAATGCTGAATGAGCAAAATCTAACAGATATTATCAACAACTTTACCAAAAGTTACACGCTGAAACCAGTTTTTGGAACAATTGTGGAAGTGACATGCATTGATGATTATGTAGCGTACAATGATATTGCTAGAGCCAGGTGTGGGGTTAATGGAGTTTGGACAAACATACCAGTATGTGTACCTGCATTAGTGATGGAAATGATTAGAAAAGAGAAAGCAGCAGAAAAAGCAGAAAATCCTTCAGATCATCCACAACAGCAAGACAAACCGAACTCTCCTAGTGGAATCTCTATCTCAGAAGACACCAGGAAAACATCTTCGGAACCTCCAAATACATCAACGTTTGCAACAACTTGGTTCGATATTTTCGCTGAACCAAAAACTACAGTGCAAATAACTACTGTCACGAGCGAGCCATCGACTGCACAAAGCACAACGGATTACTATTACGACCAAACAACAGCACTTCCAATTGTGAAATACGAACGGGTGAAAAAAATCATCATCCCTCCAGAGGAAGCAAAGCAGGCCACATCTGTTGCATCTCCATGGTTATTTGTTCTCATTGGAGGATTCTTTTTTGTCTTTCTAACGGATGTCCCAACCTATGTTGTGCAAATCAAGAAAGCAATTGGACACATTAAAAGTTACATGGCCTACAAAGCTCACCAAGCTAAAATTGCAAATAGGAATAACAAAATTGGCAGTATAGATATGGAGTCTTAATAATCTGGAAAGATCTCATAAACGAGTTTTAGTTAAATGTGGAATGTGACCATTTCATAGAATACATGAAAACAAGCACAGTTAACATTGTAGTTGAACTTGTACTCATAAATTACGTTTTTAAATGATTCACGTAAAATACTGTGCCCTAGAAAACTCATATTTCCAGAGGCTCATCTTACTTTCTGTTGAGATCAGTTTGTATTGCGGGTGCAGTTTCACAGGGTGTGAAAATGCAGGATAAGTTCATGTTACAGGGACCAATCAAACCGCTGAACATGTCATATATATACAGGGTGATCATTAAGTTCTGGGAATTCGTCTGCCATTTCAATATTTTTCAAGCAATTTACTTGAAAGGATAGGTATGGTGGACCAATTTAATTTTCTCTTAAACCAATTATTGAAAACATTCTGTAAAAACACGGTCCTTTATGTAATTTTGCCTGATTGACAACAATTTAATGCGAAAATTATTTTTATATATTTTATATAACTGTTTTTGTTAACATTTTTTTGTTTTTAGTGCAGTTGTTTTTGTTCCTTTCTACCAATTCTTGAGAATGAAATAAAATATCTTTCCGAACCTTGTTGGAACAAAATAGCATATACAACATTTTCTTAAACCTCTCAATATTATAGTTGGAAAATTTTGGTTGATACATATGATACCAAGAACAAAATAAGTGTCTGATGTGCTTTCTAAAACAATATAGAGAAAAGCATATTTTTCAAACTTTATTGTTACCATTTAAAAGATGACCATTAAATTGACGATATGTAAGATTTTCAGAATTTTTTGATGACTAGTTTAAGAGAAACCTGTGTTCAAAAAGTTCACCATATCGATACCACTCCTTTCCAGAAAATGTACATTGCATAATTCTGAATTGACAAACAATGTTTCATATAAGCTTACATGTACATTATCATTTCTACAATATAATTTCCTGCTAAAACATATCTCTTGCCTTCATGGTTACTTCACACTGCTTGCTCAAGATGCAGCAAAGTCCATGATGAGTCATTAATGCAGACCAGAAGTATTAATTTATATTCAGTGTTGAGATGATCATTTCACTTATAATAGTTGAAGACTGGCTCAAGCCATTGAAATCAGCCCCTTATTAGAATCAAACTGATGACCTGCCTAATGGCACTTCATCTGGTGAATATGGGGCATGAACATTAGCAAGTTTTATGAACCCTAATTCTTTAAGAGTCGCATGGCAGTTTGAGGTGTGGGAATGAGCACTGATGGAAGAAAGCTCCTTTCGAGTCATTGATTGTGCCTCGTAGAGTCTGATGAAGGATGAGAAAATAGAGCAGATTACACTGTTATATCACAACACAGAAGGTACTATACTTAACTGCAGTAAGAAATATTTGAAAACATAAAAGTCAAAGAAATATGTCCAGCAAATAAGTTTGTTTGACCCGCGACGCCATTTGTCATGTTGCTATAGTAACAGTAATTATCCATTGTGACATCGTATTACAATGGGACTATTAAACTCATAATTAAATTTCCCATTTACCTTTCAACTAAATTGGTTGAAGAATAATGAAATGACAAATTCCCAGAACTTAGTGATCACCCTGTATATAAAATGTATATAGTATTGTGTAAGTAAGACAAAGCACATTTATACTTGTAATTAAGTATATCAAAATTAAAAGTATCAAAAGAATATGATCTTTGCATTTTGTTTCTTTACTATGGAAAACACAATTTTCACTACGAAAAGCGGCAGTAGAAATGCCCTTTCTGGGCGATTACGCCGTGAATAACAATGTAAATTTATTTATGACTTTGAGAAATAAATAAAATAAAATAAGTATTTAAAAAACTACTTAATGAATGTGTACGATGTAGTCTTTTAATTTGAATTAATGAACAACGTTATTTTGTAAAGGATTGTGTTCTAAGACTTCTGCTAATGTAGCCATTTCGCTAGACATCCATTAGCCAGTCGTGGGTATCAATATCGAGTGGTCACCGCGAGTTTTTCTAAAAGATGAACCCTTGGTTAATATGAAAACGACATCATTTTGATCTGTGTGCAGCCACAAAATGATTGGGATGGTACTTATAGAAAAACTATAAGCTAGTCCTTGTTGAGTTTTACTTTGTTTGCAAATCTATAAAAAATATGAGAACTTCCGAACTAAGATATCAGCAAGATATGTGCAACTTGAATAACGATGCTCGCCTCCCTGGTCACGCTGTCGCACCCACCCTTCCGGTTCTTGGAAGTTCCTTTACCTAGGTTGCTTTGATCAATACTCGTACTTAATGGCATCAGAGGCGATGACTGATTAACGATTTCTTGACTCACCTATCGAATGCTAACCTTGTCCATGGCCCTATGTGACAAAATATATTCACTAGTGCATGATGTTATGTTTTCACGTTAAACCATGGTTTGGAAAAGTTAGGGTTTGTTTTTCTTATGACTGGTGTAGTCTTAGATATTTTCCTTTTCCTGCTGAGTTCAATATCAATGTTTGGCCCTTTCTCTTTGGCACGTGTTAATATATTATCTATGTTATATTTTGTAAGGGTCAATTCATTTATTATCCCAACGAACGAAGTTCGGTAGGGATATAGTGAAGCCCTCCGTCCGTCCGTCAGTCCGTTAGTCTGTCAGTCCGTCCTTCAGTCAGTCCGTCAGTCAGTCCGTCCGTCCGTCCGTCCGGAAGATAACTCAAATATTAGTAGACGGATTTTTCTTCATTTTTGGTGAAAGGATGTATATTGATGAATAGTTTTACGCAAAAATTTTTTTTTCAAGATGGCCGCCGCTTTAAAAATGACGGGACTTTTTCGTAAAAATCATAAATTTTTCATTCTAAACCAAAGTAATTAATATTATTGTTTGAAACTTTGGTAGTATATTCGCAACATCTATCTATTTCACATATATTCCGTGTTTTTCATCCGACCCCCAGGGGCCGTGTATGGGTGGGGGTCAGGAAACAGAAATTTTCGCTAATTTTTAGATCTTTCTGTATAGCTTTATTATACTCAAATGAAAGGCAATTAAGAGTAGATTGCAAATATTGTATCTTTTTTCTGATTCGAGCCTCGTAAAATTCAAAATGGCTGTCTAATGTACGATTTCGCAATCATTTTTCGATCCCTTCAAAGTATGGCTATATTATACTCAAATTGAAGGAATTTTGGAGTATATCACAATTATGCTATTATTTTTCAGATTTGTACGTCAGAAAATTTTTCAATTTTAACCAAAGTAATGAGTATAATTGATTGGAATTCGGTAATTGATATTTTGTTCGTTGGGATTTGCCACTCCGCGGAGTTGCCATTATCTAGTTGTTCTTGAAAAAGCGCAAGATATTAGTATTCGATAAAAAGGCTAAACGATGATTACATAGATCAACAATATTACAATATGAATTATTATATAAAGAAAGGCCTATATTCATATTTGTTGATGCAAATGTATATTTGGATTTCTTGTTTTGTTGACAAACGTGTGGCCTCTTTTATTTGGCGTTTCTCTGGCTTATCTGAAGTCTGACATACCCCTTTCGTGAAGAAGGGCATTTGCTTCAGTCAGATGCGGTGTGGCCCCGTTACGTATAGAGACTGGGCGCTTTGAAAGACTACCAGAACAGGAAAGACTGTGTGTTTTATGTGATATTGGCTCAGTAGAAAATGAAAAGCATTTTATGTTGGATTGTGCTTTTTATAACGACTTAAGGTCAGACTTGTTCAGAAAAATTGTATATCAATTGCCTGGATTTCTACATATGGACAGAGATTTAAAAAATTTTAACTTAATGAGCAATATTAGTATTTACCTATTTGTTGCAAAGGCCTGTGGCCAAATGCTGAAACTTCGTGAAAACTTTCTATATAAATGATTTACATGTATTTATAGTGTCCTATAGGTCGTTGTCGGCCTGGGGTGTTTTAATTGTATTTTATATGTTTTATAACTCATGACACTTAAATAAAATAAATAAATAAATATTTACACATTTCATTATTTTGTACATTTTATCGTCAATGAATCTTGGGGTTTCCTTGTGAATAACTTCCTTAACAACAATGCTTCCTTGCTAATGGTAATCGATGACGCAACATTGCGACATCGATCTCGACTATGGATATTATTGAAGAAACATGCCCCTGACATTTATTGAATTGAGATTCTAGATCTACATGTAAGACTTTAAAGGTTCAGCCAGGTTACTCTGGTACTGTCAAGCTTACTTACCTTCGCAAAACAGGAAAAATATTCGAGGTTATATAAAGGTGGATGTAATAAGGATTTGAACATGTCTCCTTTGACAAACTACTTTTTGTGTCTGTTTGGAATACTTTGCGCAATAGCATCCGCAAATTCGACGCTATATCAGAAAATACCAGGTTTTTCTTTACATGGATACACACTAGACGTTAAAAACGTGAAAAGTTTAGGAAAGTGTGGTGAGATATGCACAGCAAATTCCGCCTGTTTCTCTTTCAACTTTGAGCTGGGATCACCAACAGGGATGATGTCACAATGTGAGCTGGTGTACTGTTCCTTGGACGTCAACAACTCGGCATTAGTACAAGACACAACCATGACTTATTACGAACAAGTTAGTCAAATGGACTTTGATTCTCTAACTCATTCATATTTGGCTCACAAAGTGAACCTATGGGATCGACCGGGCGTCCGTCCGTCCGTTGGTCCGTCCGTTAACATTGGCCGCATAAATTAAAACTGCTATTCGGATTGACAAATGATTGAGTCATATCCACATTCATTTTATGCATATCCATAATGCCTATTTGACCTATCATCGCCATTTCCCCAAGTTTGCCAGGTTTCCGGGAACTTGCTGATTTTGACCTCAAAAAGTCAAATTTTCTGTAAATACTAGACACTTTGTTGAAGTAGAACTTTCAGATAACTTGTAGTAGTTGCTGTATATGCAACTTATGTTCTCCAAAGCTCTTGAAATTACAGTTTTTGGTGTTTACTCTATAAAAAATTTGACAAAAAGTAGGACTCATTTTCAGGGAACTTTTTCATCAATGAAGTTAATCATCATTGGCTGCGCAAATTAAAACTGCTATTCGTATTGAGTCATATTCACATTCATTTTATGCATATCCATAATGCCTGTTTGACCTATCATCGCCAATTTCTCAAGTTCGCCCGGTTTCCGAGAAATTGCCGATTTTGACGTCAAAGAGTCAACTTTTCTGTAAACATCAGACACTTTGTTGTGAAGTAGAACTTTCAAATAAGTGTTAGTAGTTGCTGTATGTGCAACATATGTCCTCTGAAGATTTCAAAGCTCTGGGAATTTCAGGGAGTCATTTTCAGGGAACTTTCTCATGTATATCGTCAGTGGCAGGTTTTGTGATTGACAAGTTTCTCAAAGTTTGTCCATATACTTGTCCATTACTTGCAATGAATTACATCATTACTAGATTTAAGCATTCCCTACATATTGCTCAATATATGTCAACATCAAATTTTTACTGTTTTTGAGATATTTGATGTCAAAAACCAGTAAAAATAAGTTATTATTCAACTTGCTTCAATTTGACCAAATTTTGGGGGGAAATCGTCTACAAGTTGTCAGGAGTTCAAATCTGACCTTAGTTTTGAGATTTGACCTTTAGTGACCTTCGAAAGGTAAAAAAAGTTGATTTTTCATATTGATTATTTGGATGTAAATTTTGGTCACCTTAATCACAAAAGACCTACTGAGCTCTGAATAAGTAAAATGTTCAAGGTCAAAGGTCCTCAAACTAGGTCACAGACTGTGCTATCTACATGTAAGTTTCTCAGAGTTCGAGACAACAAATCAAAATCAATAATTTTGTTTGAAAATCAGGATATACATTCCTCTGAAGGTTCTACTCCGTGTGAGCACAGGACCGTGGGTCCTTTATTTGGAAAAAATAAAAAATGAAAAAATAAATAAAATAGAAATGAATCTAGAAGTTAGAAAATGATGCAAAACCTTATAATTTATATAGCATTTTGAAGGGCTAGAACAAATTTGAATATGCAAATGACATCATTCAAGATGGCGGATTTGGACTTTTACAAAATGAAATTATTTTAGATTTAATCTTTTTATTGAGACTTCAATTTTAAAATCTGAATTGAAACATGGATCAGGATCAGGATGGGTTAGTGCATCCATGAATATTTATAAATCCAATAAAGAAGGATATAGGGTTCTTTATTGCAATTCAAACATACACTCCTTTATAAAACTGACATGGTCCAGTTTTTTATGAAACCATTATGCACTGACGCTCGGTTGACCATAAAAACTATTAAACCATTAAAATGAGTATGACTTAAATTAGAAAGGCTGATAATATATAGAACAATTATTATAACTTATGAATGTTTAATATAATATAGTGATACAGTACATCGTAGATGTTAAAAGGATTTTAAGAAGATTAAAACTAAATATAATAGCTTTGTGGTTCATTCAAACATGACCGTGCTCTATTCGAATTTCTCAACCAATCAGAATGCAGCATAGCCAATATAGAACGTTCTCTAATTCTCCATAGATGCACGACCATGCTCTATTCAATCTGCAATTTGCATTGTTTTGAGTGACGTCACATCTCAGCTGCACATCTGGGGCTCTGTCCGGGGATAGCTGTTCTTTTTTACTCCCTCCGTAACTACTGTAACTATATTTTATCAAGACCCCCAGATGTTTCACTCTTGTATTACATACCCAGCGAAGCATTTGTATTGAAGTCAATGGATCTGAAGGTCGGCTATATATTCCTGTAATAGCCGCCAAACCTTTTACCATGACAATCTTATGACGTCATCGGGACGTCATGTTTCATTTCTTCCTAATTTCACTCGCACACAGACACGTGGCGTCATTGATATAACGTAGCCATGATATAAAAGTATGTAATACAACAGTTATGTCCATATCATTGAATATATGCCTTCGGTCTGTCGTAATATAACCCTCGCAAGCTCGGGCTATATTGGTGACAGACCTTAGGCATATATTCAATGATAGGGACATAACTGCTAACTATACCTTGCATTTGGCGTTCATAAGCAACCCATTTGGCTTATTAGTAATGATTATATATTTGTTTTTATTTGTCTGTTCCTTTTAATGGTTTATCGGTTGAAAGTTAGATGTTGATAAGGTACTTTCAAAAATATACTAAACAATCCAATTAGACAAACAAAGTATCTTATGCATTTCTAGGTGTTAGGTATAGTAGTGTGTGTTTGCATACACCGTATAAAATCTAAAACGGGGAGTAAAATAGAACAGCCCAAACAAATTCTAAAATTTTTCCGGCCGCCTTCAGAATCTTGACAGCATGCGTATTCTTCCTTCATGCCCGTTCCACAGACACGGCTTTTACTAATTTTTATGTTTGAATCGGAATAAATAATGATAGGCCATTCAATATGGTGAAATTCAGCACGAGTTGGACAGAATGTTGTACAAAGCACGAACCGAAGGTGAGTGCATTTGTACTAACATTCTGTCCAACGAGTGTCCACGAACCTTCGGTTCGTGCTTTGTACAACATTCTGTCCAACTCGTGCTGAATTTCACCATATTGAATGGCCTATCATTATTTATTCCTTAATTACATGACATTACGACATACAAGTAAGTGTATTGTGAATTATAAATTGAATAGGCCTAATGTAATTGCATAAATTTTTGCTGTTTAGATTCCCGAAGGAGCTACTTACCCAGCAACACCCCTGTGCAGTAAGTATTATTAACTATGTTAATACTTTTAGTTAATTCAATATCATCCGTTGTCAATATTTTACTAAATCTGTAATACCATATGTCAATATTCTAACAAATCCGGGGTCAATACTAAGACTAATCGAATATATTAGTTGATTAAAGGCAGAACCAGAATTATAAAGGGTGACACATTTGCCAGCAACTGACCCAAATGATCTGCCTATGTGTTCTTTACCAACTGAAATATAATATCTCCCTTACCAAGGTATTTTATAAATTGGTGAAGGCAAGGAATTATATGAACATGAGAAATTCTTGAGTTGGTGCAATTTTTCGATAGATTTGAATTGCAAAAATGTGTAAATTCTCCAAATCATTTCTAGAAAAATGAACACATAAATGTAAACTCTTATAAGTAAATTTAAGTAAGTGTGAAGATTTTTATAAAGAAATAGAAACTAGAAACATGGTGAGCTCTCAATGCAAAATATTCCAAAAGAGTTTACAAGAGGTATAATACAGGGTGGTCCAAAAAGACATGATACATTTTTGATAAAGTAGCATTCTCTGTTGAAAGGAAAGCTTTACATTTTTATAGACCTGTCATACAGAGATGTAAGTTTTGTGTGGTTTAATTTTTTCCTCGTTCACCACCGTTTTACAAGCACAGTTCAGTTCAATGGTTTTTAATATGCTCCATCCAAGCTTCTTTAGACTGATTCACTTTGGCTACTTGGTAAGTGATGAAGAAAGTATTTGAGTGAAGCATTGGAGCAATGCGGTGATGGTCCATCCTCCTGATACATTACAGTATAAATGTCCATTCCTCACTTTTGCCTCCGGGATGAAATTCTTCTCAATTTCGTTAAATGTCTGGGCTCACAGTTCTGTATTCTTCAGCACCCCCAAGCCAGTATAGCCTGATAATGCAGGATTTACTACCCATCCATGCCCCAAACAGTCACTTTCTCTACACTAAGTGGATGATACTTATGCTCACGAGGGTGACCCTGGGCCAAAAAGCGCCTTTTCTGTTTATTAAGGGTCATTAGATATTTCAATATGCAAGTAGTCAGTGATTCAGCGCCAAGAAACTTGGATTGAGTACAATTTTAACTATTAAAATGTATGCATCTTTTTGGGCCACCTTGTAAATGAATACAATTTCCCGAAGAATATTTTAAAGAATGATTGCTTAGAAATGTATACAAAATGTGACAAAGGGAACACATACAATCAATTGCTAGGCTCAGACGAGCTCACATAAAATCCGAATTTAAACAGGGCTTCATTCAAATGAAGACCAATTCCATTAAACTCGATTGAGCTAATGTAAATCGATAGAAGATAATTTGTCAAATGAAATGCACAAAGTAATATCTATTACTAGGCCCAATTTCCGGATTAGCGAGACAAATGATACCGTTCATAGAGATATTGGTAAATATATTGACTTTCTATACAAATAAATCTATACAAATGTAAATCCGTCCGTTCATTCGTTTACGGGCTATAACTCAAATACCAGTTGCCGGATCTGGTTCATATTTAATAGGATTATGCCCCAAAATAAGAACCTTGTAGAACAAAATAAGAGAGTTCCCAAAATACTATCTTGTAGAGTCTTTATACGACGGGTGATCAATAAGTAATGGACACGTTTTCAACTTACACATAAAAGGTAAGTATTGTGATGTTGAACGTTGTTTTGGTCATTTTTCTTCATCATGTTTATTGTTTGGTCATGGTTCTATGAAAAATCACAGATGTGTCACTGATCCATGAGTAAGTCAAAATGTCCTCCTCCCAAAGCATAAGAGTGAAGAAGCGAACTGTTTTTGAATTGCTCGTTGCAGCTGGAGCAACCAAGCATGAGACATAGAAAGAGTTCTTAGAAGCAACGTCCTTTCTCGACAGGCTGTCTGAAATTGGTATGAACAATAGCAGGTAAAGACCTGTCTTCCCATACTGGAAGAGTGCATTGAAAGGATGTATGTTAATGGCATTAATGAAATAAAACAGGCTGTGCAACTGCAGCTCGCAACCATGTCAGAGAATGGGTTCGGCCATATCTTTCTTTAAAAGGAAACTTCGAGTATATAGAGTGAACCCGTAGAAGAAATGATGGTCCCCTGGGGATTATGGTCCCCTTTACTTACGGCTCTTACTGGCCCTGACTGTGTATAAATAATAAGGAAAATAATTGTAATTAGGTCACCATATAAATCAATAGAGAGTAGGTCCAAAATTTGATAGGACCACCTACCCTTTTACATCGGCATGATAACAAAATTTTCAACACCAATTTTGGCATATCAAAATGATGTTATCATAACCAGCATAGTTCGCTTTCTTCAAATACAAGTTGCATTTAGAGGAAGCTAGAATACCTCCAAAATTTCTGACGTTATGGTCAGCCCCGGGGTACCTATACTTCCTATACGAAAATAAAGATATATTAAAATGTATTAAATGTTTTGTCTTCAAGAATCTTGGATTTCCAAGGTATGATGTGTTCATGATTGAAAATCAAACTGCGAAAAGAGTATGATCTTCAGGCCAGATAGACAATTGGATAATTTATCAAAGTGAAAAATCCAAAAAGATGGGTCGATAAAAACAACCGGTGTAAAAAAGCGTCCATTACTTATTGATCACCCTCTGCATTTAGTATTTTTAATTATATTTCACATGATTTTCTTCTAAATCGTTCTATTTCTAAACCATATTTATCGCAGTATATGTAGTATCATTAGTAAAGAATTATTCACATTCTGAGGCCATTTTGATTTTTGTGAAATAGTGTTTGGTTTTTGGTTAGTATGAGCAAGCCAATAAATTTGCTTGTATCACCTTTTAAAATATTCCCTACCAAATTCCCACACAATCAGGAATATTATGAATTTTATTTTTACAAATAACACAAATACCAGTTACCAGGATTTTGTTCAAATTGCATGAACTGGAATTACTGAATATGGTCATAAGTTGAAAAATTTTATATGGTATCACGGCACATCATGGGCCTGATCATGGGAGATTTTCGCGAAAGGAGAAATGTAATGTATTGGTTTATCTGTATTTATAGATACCTGTGTCCATGCTCCGTGCAAGAATGGCGGTACGTGTACTGTCACTGGGCCATTTCCCTCTAACTACACATGTCAATGTATGCAGGGTTATTTTGGAGCAACATGCGATTCATGTAAGAATTTAATACTTAAGTGAAATAATCAATGCCTAATGAAATACTGGTGTAAAGAAGAATATTCGCTGTATATTACATAGTATTACTAGTATCCATTAGATTAAATACCTGTATGCATCAATTTCTGTTTAACTAGTAAGCAAAATTATATCAGATTTCGCACAATTAACGTTTCAAGTAAAACGTATCCGTAACTCAGTACGTTTACGTATAGACGTCATCATCGTGTTTTACTTAGGGATTTAAGCACTAGATTTAAAGTGTTTTGTGAAATATATCGCATAATGCGTACGCAATAATTTTACAATAATTTACAAGTTTATTGTTACTTGCCTTAAACCAAGACCGAATGTTGATGTTTAATGCTAACATACAAAAAAAGGTGACGTGTCTGTATGCGTGACATTTCAAATGTAGATGAAGACTGTGGTGACGTTCCTTTACAAACTGGTGTAAGAACTATCGCGACAACAGATGGGAGAACCTTTGAGGCTTATTGCGACCAAGGGTGGACCTACGTATTCAACAGGTAAGCATCGCAATGCATGGCATTGAACATTTGGAAAAAATGGTGTTATATCACAACAACAGAAGGGAGAAGTTTCGAGGCTTACTGACCAAGTATGGACCTACCTTGCCCAGCTATGTGTGCATGTATGTACTAAGTGGCGCCTGTGCTATGTTTTATTGGTAACGCACTTCGTATTTAAAAACAAATGATGAACAGAATTAGATTCTGAAACTTCTGAGAAATACTTGAGAATCGGTTAAAAATGTTGAAATAGCAGAACCAGTGACTTTTGGATCACCCCTTGTGACTCTGTAAATCAACTAAAGATGTCTCCGTTTTAGGTTTGATGGAAGTGTAGACTTTTACCGCAGCTGGATTGAATATCAGCAAGGCTTCGGTGATGTCAACCTCGAACACTTCATTGGGCTTGATAACCTCGTTAGCATCTTGAATCAAAGGAGTTACAAAGTTCGATTCGATTTGGTAACATGGCCATCGAGCAATCTTAATCCAGCATCCGGATCAGCTGAATATTCCACGTTTAATATTGCTGATGAGAGTGATAAATACCGTATTAATATTGGAGGGTATTCTGGTACAGCAGGGGACGCAATGACACATCAAAATGGATACCAATTCACAACATACGACCAAGACAACGATGTGTATGGTTCCAACTGTGCAGTACTTTATAAAGGAGCCTGGTGGTATGCCGCCTGTCATTCTTCAAACCTGTTTGGAAGATACGAACATGGACCAACGTGCACTCTGTTTGCTGAATGCGTTGACTGGGATCGATACCCGGGAGCTAACCATTATTATTCATTCAAAGGAGCCGCTATGAAGATTCATCGTATTTAGAACGTACTTCAGGAAATATGTGTTACAAGCCGGAATAGATCAACCTTCCAATGGCAATGTCTACTGGAATGGCCAATGGTCATTTGCGATAATGACGTCAAGATCTTCACTTCTGAACTGATCAACCGTAACGATATCTCCTGTATCGTTGAATCAAACTGTTCCCCATGTAATAATAAAATTATTTTCGAGCCAGGTTGAGGCCACATTTTCTGGAATAATTATCTGCAGCTCCATTTGCCATATGATAGTAACTTGATTAAGTAGCCTGCGACAATGATATCAATAAAAACATTTCTCTGCCAACATTTACAAATTCTGTTTATCTAGAAGACGATTTTTGGTTATACCCAGTAGTCAGTACAATGTGCAACTTATGCCTCATGGTAAATGTTAAATAACTTCATATATTTTCAAAGAAATAATCCCACATTTTAGTGTAAGGAATTCACCCGCGCTCTCTACTTAACTCTACAAAGTTCAAGCTTTCGATTTATCATACAGCATTTGCACCTTTTAGTCCGGCAGCCAAAGTGTAAATAATTGAGTGACCTTGTTTTGTCTGATTAAGTTTTTTTCTCTGCAGATTATGCATTGTAAGGGTACCTGTAGTGATATCTGGGTGGGTGTAGAGGTCTCACCCTTGAGGAATTTTAGCAAAATGCAAAAATCCAATATGGCCGCCATGGAATCCAATATGGCCGCCATAAAATCTTTGAACTGTCATAACTTTGTTAATATTTATGATAAAAACTTGTTCTTGGTGTCAATTTCTATGTTTTTGGGGTAGAGGAATTGAATGAAAGTGTTACTTTTTATAATTTAATATGATATAATGAAAAATATTGCGATTTTCACATATTTTACAAAATATTTTGAGCAGTTTATCTAAAAAGTTTGAACACATTTGGACAAAAGTAGAAAGCCAGAATTAGAGCTTAGAAAGTAAACTTCAGTAATAATCTCTTTTGATAGGGCACAATAACTGACCCAAAATGTACATGTGTGCAGATCAGTTTATTGTTTGCAACTACATCTGTTTGATTTGCATGGGATTTGACTTTTATAGGAACACCTGATTAGTTTGAGTAGTTCGTTTGGATCAAGGGCACACCAGACGGAATCATCTTTGGGGTAAGCAGGTCAGAATCGTCATATTTTGTCCATCCATAATCTGTGGGGTTCAACTCTGGTGGATGTGCGTCAAGTGAATGCAACCAAATTGCAACTTGCAGAAGAGCCCTCAATACATTTTACTAAAATGATTCATTTGTTGTGGGTAATGAACAAATGTACAGTGCGGTGGCTTTTGTTTGCCCAACCTTCTGCATCCATGTTTTCTGCCAAGCCTTTGTTAGGGACATACATTTTGGCATAATAACGTAACGTATCTGTGGGACATGGAATGCACCCGGTACACGAGAATACCTTCATCTTAATACAGGTGATCTCCGTTTCACAAATCTAAGTTCCCCATGCTAAAGACACTCCCGCGCTCTGAGCTCATTTCCCATCACTCTTAAAAATTATTACTTTAGCGATATAAATAGTGACATAAAAAAGGTTGAAAGCGCCGAAAACGGAACAAATCGTGGAACTTTCCATCCATCCAAAAGTTCCGAACCCTTTGCTCTAAAAATCTTAATATTTTATGTATATTGTTCATATTTGGCCTCAACCACCCCATATATAGTTTTTTTTTTCATCAAGAGATTTTATTGCCATTAATCATTAAAAGTACATATCATACATGAGGGACCCAATCGCCAGTGGCATTATAGGTGTCCCTCAATGTAGTAATTACAATTTGTAAACATGGTTTTAATACACAATTATATATTAGAAAAAAATAGAAAAGAAAGCATCTGCATTTTAATTGGAGTGTGGGGGGGGCTGCTGCCTCTGCCTATAGGGTCCTGGAAACAAAGATATAGTAGTATGAGTAGGGAAAAGAGGTTCACGCCATAGTCTCCCATGGCTAAATGGCTGATCTGTACTTTCTATGTGGCACAAAGAAGACTTCATGGTGCTACAGTATAATATAAGAGAATGAAACAAGGGGAGAAAAGCAATAGAGATAAGGAGTGGTAGGGCTGAGAACAAAAGTAGACCAGCTTCCAACTACATGTAACTATGCATGCTCAATAAGATATAGGCTCACCACTGATAAAAGATTGTCAATTTGTTCCTGAGTAAGTGAAGGGTGAGCAAATAAGTAAAGATTAATTTTGTCCATTTGGGTCCTAAACTGAGATTGGTTTCCAGTGATTAGTTCAATATCTCTATTAAATTTAAGAATTTGTTCAGTTTTCAATGGGCATTTAAAAAACAAATGGCGGAAAGTCTCAGGGGCTCCGCATTCGCAGTTTGGAGAGTCAACAGTTGTCCAGTTGTGGGCCTTGAGTTGTGATTTGAGAATGAGATCTGATCTGGCACGATTTAGAAAAATTTCTTGTTTCCTTGAGAGTTTTAAGGTCATTGTTGAGATTGTGCCTTGGAAGAGTAATTTTTTCAAGTTGTACTTGAATGATGCTATACTTGGTAATGATTTTAGCTCTCTTGGAATTTTATTCCATATATTCATCATATTATAAACAGGTGATTTCCTTGGCATTGTGATTGGTATACTATAGTCCAGTGTACCTCGCAACATTCTATTGTTTATCTTTTTAAAAGGATGAAATATGTCGCTAATGTATGATGGAGTATTTTGATTAAATATATTATACATTTGCTTTTTGAAATGAAAAATTCTTCTTTCATTTAGACTTGACCAGTTTAGCAAATCAAGGACTTTCTTTGCATTAGATCCTGGTAAGCAACCAGAGACAATCAATGAAGCTTGGTATTGGAGCTTGTCCAGTCTCTTTAGATTGGCCTGTGTTGCACAGTGATAGAGTATGTCACAGTAATCGAAAAGTGATTGGATATAAGAATTGTACATGATGTTGAGCTGTTTAGATTTAAGTTTGCTTTTGAGTGGTTTCATTGGATTTAGAGCTTTTTGAATTTTGTCAACAAGATAGTTTATATGTTCAGAGCCGCTGAGTTTACTGTCAAAGTAGAAGCCTAGATGTTTATGCTGATTATGCCTAGATATTGGCTGATCATTCAAAAAGACTTGTTCATAATTATGGGTGTTTTTCTTAGAAAAAATGACTTCTTTACTTTTTTCAGGTTTGAAATCTAACTTCCAGGATTTAGACCACTGTTCAATGGTCTTCAGGTCATTTTGTAGCAGTTTATGAGATTCTCTATCATTTGGAGTACATGGGACAAAAATAGATGTATCGTCAGCGTAAATAAAACATTTTGAGGTCAGGTTGTCTGGGAGATCATTGATATAAATCAGGAAGAGCAAAGGTCCGAGGATACTTCCTTGAGGGACTGAGGTGTTTATGTAGTTGTCTGGTGATGCTGAAGAGGATGATCCGTTAATAGTAACCCTAACTTTTCTATTAGTTAAATATGATTCGATAAATTTTAAGAGATTTCCTGAGATACCATAAGATTTAAGTTTATGAATAAGCAAGTTATGTAGTAGTTCCATTTTGTGTAAAAATAAACAGTTAATTTGACATTTAACATAGGTATCTGGTTACCATAGCAACATGACAACAGGGTATGTGGAGCAAGAGAACGACACATTGCAGTGTTGGAAAAAAGTTGATACTTGAAGGGTGTATACAGGGTACCAAATGTATTTCAAATTTGTTAGTCATCCCTATTAATCAATTATTCTTTCATTAGACCAATGCTATGTGTGATCTGATATCATACAAGCTATAGTTGGCAACTGTGATGTCATTGACAGAAGAATGCCTTGCGACAAAAGCAGTCAAATTGAAGCATAAAATCCAGTTCGATTTCGACAATGCACAAATCCATACTGCAATACTTACTCAAACGTCAATGAAAATATGCACAAGCCTCGGCTTACCCTTGCATCCTTCTCACTATATCTTCCTCCCTCGGATGTTTATCTTTAAAGTGACCTGAAGTACAAATTACAAGACAAGACATGCTTTTGAACATTAAATGAAGTCTGTCTTGCTGTTCTTGAGTGGCTTTCTGAGACAGGTGATGGTGAATATAGATGTGTTCGATCAAATGGTCGGCAGATATATACTAGGTGTATATAAGGGGATAAGATACTATTTTGCAAAATTAAATCAAGAACTAACAATGAAATATGAACAAATTGAAAAAATAATTGGTTAATAGACAAGCATGACTCTACACATTTGAAATTTGGTACCCTGTAACACTCTTTTAGAATCAACATTTCCCACCTCTACAATATGTCGTACTCTTGCTCCACATACCCTGTTGTCATGTTACTATGGTAACCAGATACCTATGTTGCTGGTCAAATGTATTGCTTATTTTTATACAAAATGAAACTGCTATATATGGGGTGGCTGTGGCCAAATATGAACAATTTTCATAAAGAATTAAGATTTTTAGAGCAAACGGTTCAGAACTTTTGGATCAACCCTCGTATGACCAGACAACCTTCCTGGGTGTAAAAAGCAACTGTGCCGAAAATTTCCTCTATTTTTTATCTACTTTTCGCAATTTTTACCCCTACCCCTAAAATTTATAGGGGTAGGCTTAATAACATTCCATAACATTTTAGGATTATCATTAAATAGTATCATAATTTCAATGTTGGGACCTTTTACCATGATACACATGATAATGAGTGAGATTGCAGTCAATTTTTTGCAAAATGAATATTTACTTATCTTTAATTAATTCCTTTTATCTCTTTTCCAAAGTGGCATATACTTCAACATTATAAACAATGTAATTTTAATTGAAAATAAAGTTTGACAAACTATGTGTCATCTGATGAGTGACTTGAATGCAAATACAGAATAATCTAGCAAAAGGTGTATCTTAAACAACTTCCAAAATCTCTTCTTGTTTTTGACAAGGTCATGCTTGAGTGACAATGAGCATCAACGTTTATGATAGGATATTTTTGTGAGTATGATTTTGACCTACATGATTAATAAAAATAATCAAGAAGTAGTTCAGTGCTTTTTTTGCTGAACTGTTATGTTTTGTAATATGATATTGTTGGTCTAATAAGGGCAGTTTTGAACCAGAACAACAGCAACGCCAAAGCGTAGCGAATCCCATCGAACAGATAGCAAATATATATAGCAAATATCATAAAATAACACCCATAAGAAAGGCAACCATTTTCAAAATGGTTGCTCACTAGCCATTTTTTGAGTTATAGTAAAAAATGTGAATTAACACAAATAATAAGAATTTCAAAATGGCCG